CTTTGTGGCCTAGAAGTCTTGGGGATGGAAATAGTTGTGTAATCTGGTCACATTTGGCCAAGAAATCTATTGATCCAAAGGCCAGATGATCAACTTTATTTGAAAGACAAGTAGGCTAATTGGGATAAAGATTCTTCCTCCAGGAACCCCTGTAAAGAGGCCATTGGCTCTACATGTTCAGTCTTGGTTCAGTCTTTGTGTAATTACAGTCATCTGAAGTACTTTACCAGTAATGCTGGTGTATGTAGTCTGTAAAGCTAGCAATCTGGAATCTTAGTTGAGCTGGTTTTTCACCAGTCTCTGAAGTTGACTTGATTTTCATCTGTTCTAATTTTAAGGCCATTTCTATCTTCGGTTTCCCCAACTTTCATTCTCACCAGTTGAAAAAAGGCTGTGGGAGCAAACTGTCTAAAAGGGTCAGGATGTCTGAATGTTTTTCCCATTTTACCTCTTACTTTAGGTGTTATGCTCTAGTTTTCCACAACTAAAATAGGAAAATTCTCCCAGGAATACAGTTAAAATAATATCTATGAAACAATTTGAGAGTTTTAGAATATTTAAATTAGAAGAAATCTTAAAGGTCATTTAATCCAGTATTTCCCAGCCAGAGAAGCAATAGCTCTTCCAATTCAGTTCCTTTATCCCCTCTCTTTCTCCTGAATAGCCTCTTCCTACCTCCTGCCTCAACCTGGTGTTCAAAGTAGGAGAATCGATCCAATTTGCACAGTATATTTAGTGTATTCAGGGTTGGGAAACACTGACCTACTTCACCTCCCTATTTCATGCAATAATCATTCCAACAGTCACAACAAGTTGACATCTAGCATTTACTTGAATATCCCATGTTAGGAAATTTGCCACCTCAGAGGCAACCCATTCCAGCTTTGGACAGCAATGGTTTAGGAGAGAGTTTTCCATCATATCAAGCTAAAATCTACATCCCTCCCCTCTCCACCCTGTATCTCCCATCCATTGGTCCCAGATCTGGCCTTTGGAACCACAGAGAATCCATCTAATCCCTTTATAAAAGCATGTGTAGAATACCCAGGATTGTCATTGTTAACTTGTCACAGTGGCTCAGACCTAGCCTGAGTGATTGTGTTACAGATATCCTGTGCTTTGTGCACTAGCTGTGTTCCTAAAACATTGCATAAACCAAGTTTTATATGAAACAAATCATTTTAGACATACTGGGAAGTTGACCGTTTATTTTATTTTATTTATTTATTTATTTATTTTTTGAAATAGAGTCTCACTCTGTTGCCTGGGCTAGAGTGTCATGGGGTCAGCCTAGCTCACAGCAACCTCAAACTCTTGGGCTCAAGCGATCCTCCTGCCTCAGCCTCCCGAGTAGCTGGGACTACAGGCATGCGCCACCATGCCCGGCTAATTTTTTCTCTATATATTTTTAGTTGTCCATATGATTTCTTTCTATTTTTAGTAGAGACGGGGTCTCGCTCTTGCTCAGGTTGGTCTCCAACTCCTGAGCTCAAAGGATCCACTCGCCTTGGCCTCCCAGAGTGCTAGGATTACAGGCGAGAGCCACTCCACTCCCTCCTGCCAGGAAGTTGACTGTTTAAAAGAAACCCTGTTATCAGTTCTTTCATAAACTGAAGAATCCTTTTGTAATGCAAATAATATCCCCCATTAACCTTGTATGCAAATCTAGATTTGGATACATTATGTGTTACTTAAGGTAGGATTTGCCTATATACAAGTGAAATAATGATAACAGCAATAGCTAGCATTTATTTAGCCCTAATATGGCACCAGGTGTCATGCACCTGACATGCATTATTTAATTTCTCACCACAACTTCCTTCTGTAAAATTATCCCCTATGCACAGATAAGGAAACTCAGGCTTAGAGAAGTTAAATACCTTGTCTAAGGTCACACAATTAGAAAGTGATGGGCCAGAATTCAAACAAGGTGGTAGAGTTCAGAGTCTGATGTCTTAACCCTGAACTTTCAGAAGCCAGTAATAGTTGAAATGACTACTAGCTGTGTACCACAGCACGTGTAAATTAGGTTAAGATATGAAAAACTGACCTAAAATGTCAACAGCTCCACATACACACACAAAACCTACTCTTTTATGGGGGTTCTGGGCTGTAGTTTTTCCAGCACAACTCACAGTTTCCAGTGCAATTTGATCAACCCCCAAAGGCTCCCTCTCAGCTAATATTAATAGTATTAAACAAATGCTTCCAAAATTTATGCTGGGCATATGGATGTAATCAGACACTTTTTCAAAGGGTCTGTGTATTCTCAGGAATTAGTGGCACGAGCTTCTTAAAAGAAAGAAGTGTTTCATGAGCTGGGTGCAATGGCTCAGCCTGTAATCCTAGCATTCTGGGAGGCTGAGGTGGGAGGATTGCTTGAGGTCAGGAGTTTGAGGCTGCTGTGAGTTACGATGACGCCGCTGCACTGTAGTCAGGGCGACAGAGCAAGACTGTCTTAAAAAGAAAGGAAAGAAGGAAGGAGGGAAGAAGGAAGGGAGGGAGGGAGGGAAAGAATGAAAGAAGTGGTTCATTATTGACTAGTAAAATCGTAGGTGTTGAGAATCATGGTTGATCCCAGCCTGCTCCTAGATGGGTCGGAATCATTCAAATGGGCCCAGTTTTTAATGGCATTTAGGTTTGCAAGTTAAAAATAGTTTGGGAAGGATAATGCATAAATAAGTGCTGGTCTGAATCCAAAGTTGACAAAGATAAATGGATGTAATATTTCTATGTCCTCAAATCAGTTCTAGTCTCTCCAGTTTAGTCAACAGCAGTGTGCACTTACAGCATTGCTTAGCTAAGAACACATCCCTTGGGGCTCCTGGAACCCAGAACTTTCTACACTATATAATGGTGCTCAAGGTAGGACCCTCTTCTGTCCTCCACACCCCACCTCCACCTACCCCCACCTATTAGAATTCCTCATTTGATATGAGACTTCATCTTGGCTTATTTGCAGATTTTGCTTTGAAAAACATGATACTCCATTGCAAATCATGGCCCCAGCTGGCCAAGACCAAGCTGGCATTCTGGTCTAAGAAGTCACAGGAAATCAGATCAGTCCTCGTAAGGAACAGAGCTCCCCTCACATGCTCACCCTTCTGACCTTCACTTGTGTGGCAGGCTTGTTCACAAATTAAAGTCATAGACTTGGGTGAGGAAATATGTAATTTTCTATACTTCTTAAATTAGTTTGTCGGTCCCCGTTTCTACTGTTTGCTGAAAAAGAATAAACCTCACCAATTCAAGACAACTCAATCATTGCAAGTTTTAAACTTAGTCTCTCAGCATTCTCCGCCCAGTCCCCTTCACACGATGTTCCAGTTTGGGGTTTATATATCATTCTGATATCAGGGAAGGAGCACTGAGGCCAAGTGCCATCTTCCACCTCTCTTGCCTAACCTAAAGTATAGCTTCCTTCACTTTGTCTTGGCTGTTGGGCCCTACGGCCACTAATCTTCTGTAGAGCTCTCTGGGAGCTGGAACCTATAGTCTCGGTATAAAGTACAGCGATGGCTTCATGGGGAGCCCAGTGAGTCCCACCTCAGCTCTTCCTGGTACTGCTCAACTCCATCTGACCCCTGGCTTGGCCCATCCACCCTCAGCCTCTACTGTGTGGTTCTCGCCCCCACTCCACAGCAGCCCTCACAGGCACCCCAACTTTCAGTTCTCAGCTCTCTCTTACACTCCATCCAGGTGATGACCACCGAGGAACTCTTCAGATGTCCTCCAAATGTCAAGGAGCCAAGGAGACTGAGGCTTAAGGGGTAAGAAGTTTGGGTGATGTTGTGGGGAGTTTATCTGAGACCTCCTTTGCCTACACAGGTGACAGTGCCATTTCTACTCTGTGGCAGTTGTTCCTTGTTAGCTAAGGGCCATTTGGAAGGCTGTGCCTTCTCAGAGTTCCAGAACAAAGTGGAGCACAAGGCTTTCTGTATACTAGTGTTCAGTGGTGAGGACAGAGAATGGAGCCCCACAGTTGCAGCTAAGCACTCTGGCTCTCCTCTCCCCATCCTTTCCAATTCTGCTCCAAGCCCCAGAAGGATTATATTTTCTGTGCAGAGGGAAAACTCACATGTTCTTCCCAATTCAATAGATGATGCCACAAACTCTGAGTTTAGGTTTACTATTTACTTTTCTTGCTTTTTCCGTTGCTTGATATTTAACCACTTTGGTACCAGCATCAACTGTAGTTGACAGCCACAGATGAACACGCACAGTGACTTTAGCCGACAGCTGTGATAATGAAGGTGCACAGCCGAGCGTTGACTTTAGCGTTAATAACAAAACTTGACTCTTCTAATTTTTCATTTATCAAAATAAAATTGTGAACATTTAAAAATAACATAATGAAAACATATATGTATATGTTACCTATTCTGATTTACATTATGAGTAAAGCTGCCTGTAAAGTAAAACAAGCTTTCAGTGCTCTAAAGCTCTCCTCATCACACAAGAGCAAAACGGATTCGTAGTCAATGGACAGCACAAGCTATGGTGGGGACTGTGAGTGCCGGCTGTGGGCAAGGTTTCGCGGCCGGTGTGCGCCGTACCAAAGTGGTTAAAGGGGAACACCTGAAGGGAAAAAAGTCCTCTCAAGCACCTGGCTTTTACAACTTAAAAACTGGAGCTTTCAAGAACATTGTCTCTGCTATAGACTTGGAAAGGTCTCGTTAGGAGTTCACAAGCGAAGAACTGAACTCTGATCTCTCGGTATCACCCCTACGCAGAGCGCAGTGCATCTACAAAGCGCTTGCTGCTGCTTAAGTGATGGGAGATGACAGATTAGGGGGTAAAAGAAATGGGGAACACATCATTTGATGTGAAAACATTTAGTTTCATCTATTTACAATAAAGAATCACCTTCTCCTCCAAGGTCTTTTCTGTCATTCGTATGTTTATTGCACAGATGTCTACGTGTCTGCTCCGTTGGGGACACAACTGTGACATAAATGTGTTCTCTTTCCTCTTGGAGCTCTAAGAAGGAACAAAACCAACGGGGAGTGCCGATCCAGTAGGGAGTGCTGTGAGAAGGCCCTGGCCCCAGACTTGGACAGAGGAAATGACATCTAAATTGAGACCTAAAGGATGAATAAATATTGGGTGAATGGAAGAGGCAGAGTGATTCCAATCAGAAGGAAGAGCATGTTCAAAATCCTACAAACATTGGGAAAACGCCAAGGGATTCCCATGGCTCAGACAGAGTGCGGGCTGCCAAATGTGGTGAGATGGGAATGGAGAGGTGAGTGGGTGCCTAAACTTTGTTAAGAACTTTGAACTTTATCCTCATGGCAACAGGGAGCCACTGAAGGGTTTACAGCAAAGGAAAGATCGGTTGGATTGATGTGTTAAAGAGGCTACTCTAGCTGTACCTGTTGCCTTGGGTTAAATCAATTGTATCAATGTTCATCTATCCTCTTCAATTACCATCTATCCCTACACTGATATCTTCCAAATGGATATCTTAAGTCCAGGTCTCCCCTTTAAACTCCAAACCCACATACAATTGACTACTCAATGTCTCTACTTGATTGGTTCAAAGGTATCTCAAACCCAGCTTCCAAAACCCACCCAAACCTGGTCTTCCTCCAGTATTCCCCATCTCAGCCAATAGTACCTCTGTTCTTCCAGTTACACAGGCCATCTGTGACAAACCCTTTTCCCTCACCACCACCCCTATTTCTAGCCAATCACTGCGTCTTGCCAATGCTTCCTACACATGCCTTGTCTCCACTGCCAACATCTGAATTCAAGCTCCCTTCTTCTCTCTCACCTGAACCACCTGCTGGCCTCCTAACTGGTTTCTCACATCAATCTGCACAACCCTCCAACCTATTCCCCACACAGCAGCTAGAGTAATCTTTTTAAAATGCAAAGTTAATCATTTCACTTCTTTGCTTAAGCCTCTCAATGCCCTCTCAGGGCTCTAAAGGTGAAAATCAAATTTCCTTAAATGACATAGCTCCGCATGATCTAGCCCTTGCCTGTCTCACCAGCCACAATTCACTACGCATTCCTTCGTGCCCTGCATACTGGCCTTCTCTCCATTTCATATATGCCCCAGGTATCCTGCAAATTTGGGCCTGGCACCCACACACTCTGTGGCGAAAAACTTGGGCTCAAGTGTCAGATTGGGTTAAAAGCCCAGCTCCACCCCTGCCTGGTTCCATGACCTTGGGTAAAGTACTTAATCTCTCAATGTACCCATTTCCTTATCTGTGAAATGGGGTTAATACCTCTCAGAATTGTTATAAGAATTAAATAAAATGAAATGTGTAGAGGGCTAGAAATATAGCCCCCAACTAATGTTAGTAACTGCTGTTATTATTCCCGATTCTCTGTCTGATTACGCCTTCAGATTCTCTCATAGCATCCTGAACTTTTCATTCATAACACTCATTATACTTTGTGGTCATATATATGAGGGGTTATTTTATTAATGTCTG